TGACAGGAGGCAGCAGTAGCTTATCAGCAGCACCTCCAGCACCTCCAGCAGGACCTCCAGTACCTCCAACAGCACCTCCAGCACCTCCAGCAGCAGCAACAGCAGCAGCACGAGCAGCAGCAGCAGTAGTAGTAGCAGGGCGGCTCGGTGGGGCTGGCGAATGAGGCAGGGCGGCGCGGCTCGGGTTGGGCAGCGCGGCTTGTCACGAGACGAACTTAGCTAGGAACGGGTTTAACTAAGGGCCTAGGCTTAGTAGCCTAGGCCAAGCGGGTGTCGAGGGAGTTGTGCCAAGAGAGAATCGAGAATGTGTGTCTTCACTATAGGTTTGCAAGAACATATAGCAAAGAAACAAAGAGGTGCACCACCACAACAAAGAAACATAACTACACTAAAGCTAAAGCTACAGGCAGTTATAAACATATATAAATATATATCGCGACACACCCCCTTAACTGCCTGCAGCACATAGCTAGAGCAAGTCACACCCCCTGAAGGGGCAGGTGCGGTGGGAGACGGCAGAGGGGTACGTGAGGAGGAGGAGGCAAGAGGAAGAGAGGAGAGGAGAATAGATAAGAACACAGGAGGAGGTGAGTGGGGGATGAGGAGAGGAGGTGGGGGGTGGCCGCAGCGTCCCCTCTTACTAACCCCCTTTTACGAAAGGGGGGGTTGAGTGGGGGATGAGGAGAAGAGGTGGGGGGGTGGCCGCAGCGTCCCCTCTTACTAACCCCCACATCCCCACCCCCAACCAACCACCCGCCCTCAACCTCACCCCCCATTTCAGTCGCCCCCTGGAACCGCACTCCCTCCACCCCTGTCTTCCTCCATACCTCTCCCAACCCACGATGGTCCCTGTACAGTCTTTCACAGGTGGGCTGCTGGGCACAGGTGGGGCTGCTGGTCACAGGTGGGGCTGCTGGTCATAGGTGGGGCTGCTGGTCACAGGTGGGGCTGCTGGTCACAGGTGGGGCTGCTGGTCACAGGTGGGGTTGCTGGTGCTGGTGCTGGCGGCTGGCGCTGGTGCTGGTTCCTGGTGCTGGCAGCTGGCACTGGGGCTGGTTCCTGATGCTGGCGGCTGGCGCTGGGGCTGGTTCCTGGTGCTGGCGGCTGGCGCTGGTGCTGGTTCCTGGTGCTGGCGGCTGGCACTGGGGCTGGTTCCTGGTGCTGGCGGCCGGCGCTGGGGCTGGTTCCTGGTGCTGGCGACTGGCGCTGGGGCTGGTTCCTGGTGCTGGCGGCTGGCGCTGGGGCTGGTTCCTGGTGCTGGCGGCTGGCGCTGGGGCTGGTTCCTGGTGCTGGCGGCTGGCGCTGGGGCTGGTTCCTGGTGCTGGCGGCTGGCGCTGGGGCTGGTTCCTGGTGCTGGCGGCTGGCGCTGGTGCTGGTTCCTGGTGCTGGCGGCTGGCGCTGGTGCTGTTCCGCCACCACTCCCTTCCCCTCCTCTCTCTCCTTTCCATAGCGTCCCACCGCCACTCCCTTCCCCTCCTCCCTCTCCTCCCCATGGCGACCGCCGCTGCACACGCAAACAGTCGCGACGGGGGGGGGGGGGGGGGGTGACGGGCAGGGGGCGGGGGGAATGCGACGGGCAGAGCGGGCGAATGAGCGGCTGGGGCGATCGCCAGTGCTCTGGCGATCGTCGCTGGCGTTCCCCCGTCACTCCTATCCCCTCTTCCCTCTCGCCCCCACAGAGTTCCGCCGCCACTCCCATCCCTTCTTCCCTCTCCCCCCCACAGCGACCGCCGGTGCGACGGGCGAGGTGCAAGGTGGCGCTGGCTGCAGTCGATGGCGCAAACGCGATCGCGGGCCGCTGGCGACTTCGCTGGCGACTTCGCTGGCGGGTCGCTGGCGGCGGGTCCGCTGGCGTTCGCCATAGCGTCTGCCGCGCCCGTCGCGCTGAGAGCCGCGACGAGGCAGGCGACGGGGGGCAGCGCGAGCAGCAGGGAAAAAAAAAAAGATACGCAAGGTGCGGATTTCGCGCCACTAACTGTAGCAGTCGCGAAATGTGGTGGGCCCATAAACGAAATAGGTCCTAGGACGGACCACTCTGTTACCATGTCACGAGACGAACTTAGCTAGGAACGGGTTTAACTAAGGGCCTAGGCTTAGTAGCCTAGGCCAAGCGGGTGTCGAGGGAGTTGTGCCAAGAGAGAATCGAGAATGTGTGTCTTCACTATAGGTTTGCAAGAACATATAGCAAAGAAACAAAGAGGTGCACCACCACAACAAAGAAACATAACTACACTAAAGCTAAAGCTACAGGCAGTTATAAACATATATAAATATATATCGCGACACGGCTAGGGCTGGGCGGCGCGGCTCGGCCTGGGCGGCGCGGCTCGGCAGGGCTGGGCGGCGCGCGGGCTGCAGGGCAGAGCAAGCGCGGGCTGCAGGGGCTAGCGCAGGCTGCAGGGGCGAGCGCGGCTGCAGGGGCGAGCGCGGGCTGCAGAGGCGAGCGCGGGCTGCAGGGGCGAGCGCGGGCTGCAGAGGCGAGCGCGGCTGCAGGGGCGAGCGCGGGCTGCAGGGGCGAGCGCAGCTGCAGGGGCGAGCGCGGGCTGCAGGGGCGAGCGCGGCTGCAAGGGCGAGCGCGGCTGCAGGGGCGAGCGCGGGCTGCAGAGGCGAGCGCGGCTGCAGGGGCGAGCGCGGGCTGCAGGGGCGAGCGCTGGCAGCAGGGGCGAGCGCAGGTGCAGGGGCGAGCGCGGGCAGTAGGGGCGAGCGCAGGCTGCAGGGGCGAGCGCGGCTGCAGGGGCGAGCGCGGGCTGCAGAGGCGAGCGCGGGCTGCAGGGGCGAGCGCGGGCTGCAGCAGGGTGCGACGCGCGGGCTGCAGGGCGCGACGCGCGGGCTGCAGCAGGGCGCGGCACGCAGGGCAGTGGGGCGCGCACTGGGCAGGGCTGCAGGGCAGGGCGGTGCGCGGGCCTAAGGGCAGGGCAGCGTGGCTCGCGAGCTGCAGGGCAGGGCGGCGCGTGGGCCTAAGGGCAGGGCGCGCGGGCCTAAGGGCAGGGCAGCGCGATGCACGGGCTGCAGGGCAGCTGGGCGCGGGCTGCAGGGCAAGGCGGCGCGCGCTGGGCAGGGCAGCAGGGCGCGACTCGCAGGCTGCAGCAGGGCGGAACGTGCGGGCTGCAGGGCGCGACGCGCGGGCTGCAGTAGGGGAGCGCGCTAGGGCAGGCAGTGCGAGTAGCTGCAGGGCAGCGCGACACTGTGCGAGCAAGGCCGGACAGCGCAAGGGCGCTTCGGGCAGGAACTAGCGGAACTATCGGTGGGCCCTAAAAAACTAACAGGTTTCCTGCTCTGAATACCATGTCAGAATCAACTGTGCAGGGATGACTAGAAACAGGGCAGTACAGGTTTGTATAGGCTAACCCTAATTGGGGTTGTACCCCATACTGAGTAACCCACTATAGCCTAGCAAGTAGACTTGTATTTTGACACAGATGTGGGACCTGCCTTTATGGAGATGGAGATGAGGCTTGGTTGAGACTCGGGGAATGCAGAAGGGAGCTAATGAAACGAGTGAAGGGGAGCTAAGGTTCGTGGGACTGGCATTGGGAGAAACCTATGTGGGTTTTATCATGTTGTCTGAAAGCACAATTCTGGGGTGAATGGCGATGTTGCTGAAGCGGAGTTGCTCCCACAGTGGAGGGATCACGATCACACAGTCCCACGGAGAGGAGCTGGGTGACGCGTTCCAATCCAACCATAATTCATTTCGATGAGACATTTAACTTCGAATATATTTTTAGGTGGTTAAGTGCGGTACGCAAGGTTTTAGCACGGTAGCGAGGCTAAAAAGGTATGCGTGAATCGTAAGCAGTGCGGGGACCAGAACTGACCGCTTGGGAGAAATGTGTGGCGTCTGAGAAGCCGTGTGTGTTCCTTCTCCACCCAAACCGCCCGATCGGATCCACCCATCGAAACTGCTATTAAAAAGGGGGTCGGAAATCCCATGTTCGCTTCAGTAAAGGGAACTGGCGTGGGGGAAAGTTGAAGGTTGGTAATACGAGTGCAACATGACCAGAATATGTCACAAGCTCGTCACTTACATGTAACCTTTTACAATACAAGAGAGGGCCACGTGAGATTATACCCTACAAGTAACCGTCAGCTCGTACACATCGCCCAATAAAATACTTGACTATCCACCTGTGCGCCCACAAACTGTAGGGATCGCCGTGAGATGCGGTGTCGATATCAGTGAATTATATGAGCTACACGCTGAACAAGGACCCCATATATAGAGTTCCTAACTCAATTCATAAACACCTAGGAATGTCATTCTCTCAACAATTTCATCAGGACAGGACATGATTTATCTCACATCTTTTGTGTTAAGATTTTAAACGGCTTGATTCAAATTCACTTATAAATGGAAATTGCATATAATGTGTTTGAGTCCGAATATTCTTACGACTAATTATAGGTGGTTGAATCTGTATTTATGAGCTCGTAAGTAGCTTCACGCCCAAACACATAGGCACATGCCACTATGGAATCGAATTGGCTTGTCTGAAAGGGTTGCCGTGCATCCACTTCGCCATAGCTGCCTGAAGTGGTAAAAAACCTGACGCATTGGTATGGCGATACACGTGGTAACGTGAATTGCTTTGCTGTCCCAACCTTTGGGATTCCACCTGTAGTTGACAAGTTCGCTGGCACTGGAAGCCCGAGGACTCGAGATTGCCGCGCCAGGTCCACCAATAAAAATGGAAACCGGGGCATGCGCTGTCATATCCGCTATGAACTTGACACACACTGCGATTCGTCACATCATACTTCACCATCACATTTCCAAGCCAACAGAAGTAATCAGGGATGCATCAGGAACTTCAAATTCTCACGAATTTCCCACGCTAAGTAGAGTTCCATTTTTGCTCGACACTTCAGCTTTCTCTCTTTCGATACACAGTCAGGAACGAGCGACTATTGCTGACCAAGGCAAGGACATTCGTCTGCTTGCTGATCAAGCCTTGTCTTCATTCAGCTATTGTTTACTTTCCGTTTCGTAAACAGCAACCATGGCAGCCCTCGCTTCGACCCTGTCCGTTTCCTCGCGCCTGGCGATGCCGTCCGCGGCGATGACGGCGAGCAGCAGCAAGCTGAGCGCCGCGAGCTCGTTCGCGCCGAGCGTGAAGTACAGCTTCGGGTGCTCCGCGCCGAGCAGCCGCGTGGTGATGGCGGCGGCCGCCGCCGGGAAGGACAAGCCGAGGGACGGCTCCAAGGAGCCCGCGCAGGAGACGCTGCTCACGCCGCGCTTCTACACCACCGACTTCGACGAGATGGAAGCGGTACGCCCACTCGCCTCTGCTCCGCCGCATTTTGTCACGCTTTTTTTATTCATGGTCCTCCGATCGCCCTCTCCTCGATCCCGCAAACACATGAAACTACTCTGTTTTCTCGATCCTCCATTTCAGTACAGAAGCCAGAGCTAATCTTTCGTGTTTCTGTTGGTGCAACCCTACGGTTTGCACTCGGCTTGTTGTCCGTGTGCGTGAATGTGTGTGTGTATGGAATGGTATGAGGGCATGGGATAATATATATTTCATGCTTATAATTGTGTGTGAATGTTGAGTCATGATGTCGAGTGTGTGTGTCGAGTCAATAGCGAGTTATCGCTAGACGCGTGTTACGCGGTCGTTTGTGTCTCGCGCGTGGTTTCTATTTTGTCGTGCGCGGTTTCTATTTTGTCCTGTGTCGAACGTTCGGCGTGTCGCAGGTGTGTGCAGCAGACCCATCAAGAACTCAAGGATGAGTTTGTGATGAAGAGCCCGAGCCTTGGTGTCAAGCCTCAAGTGATTTCGAAGCTTGCCAAAAGGGTACACCTCAAGATATTGAAGATAGTTACATTACTTTGTGTAGTGTAACATTTCACTTGGTGTAGGCCCTAGTGAAGGGTAGTTTCGAGACCCTTCGTGGTTGGGGACAGTGTGGCACTGTTCCACATCACTGTACCTCGGCTCTTGGGGTTTGTAGGAGCTGGGAGTCATTCCCAACTCGTAACTCTTCCTATCTTGTGTTCTAAGACTATAGTGGCTGCCATAGTACCGTTCGTTCAAACCGACGCTGTGTCGTCAATTCTTTATCAAATCGTGCAATCTAAATTGCTAATTGTAGACGACGTGAAGACGCTCCAGATCCAATTTGAATCAAGTCATTTGCAGCTGTGAGCAGAACGCTATCAACGTTTGAAGCCGCTGTGCAGAAATCCGTCTGTGCTCTCTATCTTTCGTTTTAGGCACATTCAAGCCTATTGTGACTATAACAGTTTCTCCTTTCCTTCCCCTCAACCCTGTCCCTACCCCTTCCCGCCGATCCGCCGCGATCCGCCGCGCTTCCCCCCCTTGCAGCTGTTCAACCGCGAGATCAACCCGTACGTGAACCAGGCGGAGTTCGACGCGTGTCTGGAGGAGTTCCGCGCGGACTACAACCAGACGCACTTCGTGCGCTCGCCCGACTTCAAGGAGGCGGCCGACAAGATCCAGGGCCGCGCGCGCGAGATCTTCGTGGAGTTCCTCGAGCGCTCCTGCACCGCCGAGTTCTCCGGCTTCCTGCTCTACAAGGAGCTGGGCCGCCGCCTCAAGAAGACCAACCCGTGCATTGCGGAGATCTTCACGCTCATTGTCAGAATATGTTGTTTGTGTAGCCTGCAGTGGGGTACTCTATAGTGAGTACAGCCCCTTAGGGTTTGCTATTTGTATCCTGCTGCTTGTTAGTTCAATCATTCCTTCTCAATTTTGTTCCTGCACACAATCCTAGCTCGTACTTGGCTCCTCGTTACTAGTCCTACTGTGGCCTAGGCTACTAAGCCTATGCCGTACTCCTCCTATGTTTGATATGGTATCAGAGGGCGGCATGTCTGCCGCCTTCCTGTGTATGGGCCCACCACCCGCTTCCGCTGCCGTACTGTCCGCCGCGCGCCCCGTGGTGCGCGGCGGCGAAACCCTAATTTCTGCCCGCCGCGCGCTCGGGGCGCCTGGCGGTTTTCCCTTCCGTGGCGCCCGTCGTGGTGCCCTTGGGGGGGCCTCCGCGGTCCCCTCCCGTCGAAGCGCCCGTCGAGGCGCTCTCGGGGACCCGCGCGGCCTGCCCTCCCGTCGCCCGTCGAGGCGACCTCGGGGACCCGCGCGGCCTCCCCTCCCGTCGCCCGTCGAGGCGACCTTGGGGGCCCGCGCGGCCTCCCCACCAGTCGTCCGTCGTGGCGACCACGGGGGCCGCGCGCGGTCCCCTCCCGTCGCCCGTCGAGGCGACTTCGGGGGCCGTGCGCGGCCCTCCCCGTCGCCCGTCGAGGCGACTTCGGGGGGCCCGCGCGACACCCTCCCCGTCGCCCGTCGAGGCGGCTCTGGGGGCTCGTCGCGGCGCCCTCCCTGGTGCCCGTCGCGGCGCCCCGGGGGGGGGCCGCGCGGCTCCCTTCTCGTCGCCCCTCGGGGCGCCCTGGGGGCCGTGCGTTTCCCCCCCCCCCCCCCTTCTGCCTTTCAACTGCGGCGGCCGCCCCTGGAGCCGCCCGCCACTGCAGCAGCAGCCCCTGGAGCCGCCCGCCACTGCAGCAGCAGCCCCTGGAGCCGCCCGCCACTGCAGCAGCCGCCCCTGGAGCAGCCCGCACCTGCAGCAGCCGCCCCTGGAGCAGCCCGCACCTGCAGCAGCCGCCCCTGGAGCAGCCCGCACCTGCAGCAGCCGCCCCAGGACCCGCGCGAGCCGCCTCTGCAGAAGCCCGCCCCGTCCCCCCCCCCCCCCCCCCGTGCTGCCCATTGCTCCCATTCCACCGTGCGTTCCGCGGTGGCTGGGGTGTGGGGTGGCGAGCATGGGGGTGAGAGGTGTGGGTTCTCCCCTCCTCCTTTTTCGTCTCCCACTGCTGCAGCTGCCGCTGAGGGGGGTGGAGGTGTGGGAGTCATGGGGAGTGGCACTAGGGGGGTGATGTGGGAGTGGAGCTAGGGGTGAAGCAGGGGGTGTGTAAGAGGGGTGTGGGACTGTTGGGGGAGGTTGAGTGGAGGCTGCTGTCTTGTCGTCCGCAGCACCTGTAGTCCGAGGCGCACTGTCCTGGTAGCTCAGAGAGCCTGCTGCACCTGTTGCCCGTGGGTCCGTTGCTCCTGCCGCTCGTCGCAGCCGCAGAGCCTGTTACTCCTGTATTCCGGGACGCACTGTCTCGGTAGCCACTGAGAGCCTGCTGCACCAGTCGCCCGTGGGTCCGTTGCTTCTGCCGCTCGTCGTAGCCGCAGAGCCAGTTACTCCAGTATTCCGGGGCGCTCTGTCTCGGTAGCCACTGTGTCAGCCGCCACTGTGTCAGCCGCTTCTGTTGCCCGTGTGTCTGCAGCTTCAGTCGTCGCCTCCCATCTTCTCTCCTTTCATAGTCCCTCCTCCTCCTCACTTGCCCTCTGTGATAGCCTCTAGCTTTGCTGATAATTATGAACTATTGCTATGACTGCTCATTGTGCTGATTACACCCCACTTTGGCTATGGGGGTGTGTCAGAATATGTTGTTTGTGTAGGCTGCAGTGGGGTACTCTATAGTGAGTACAGCCCCTTAGGGTTTGCTATTTGTATCCTGCTGCTTGCTAGTTCAATCATTCCTTCTCAATTCTGTTCCTGCACACAATCCTAGCTCGTACTTGGCTCCTCGTTACTAGTCCTACTGTGGCCTAGGCTACTAAGCCTAGGCCGTACTCCTCCTATGTTTGATACTCATGTCGCGCGACGAGGCGCGGCACGCGGGGTTTCTGAACAAGGCGCTGTCGGACTTCAACCTATCGCTGGACCTGGGGTTCCTGACCAAGGCGCGCAAGTACACCTTCTTCAAGCCGCAGTACATCCTCTACGCCACCTTCCTCTCGGAGAAGATCGGCTACTGGCGCTATATCACCATCTGCCGCCACCTCACGGCGCACCCCGAGTTCTCGTGCTACCCCATCTTCGGCAAGTTCGAGAACTGGTGCCAGGACGAGAACCGGCACGGCGACTTCATCACGGCCATGCTCAAGTGCTACCCCAAGTTCCTGACGGCGTGGGACTCGAAGCTGTGGGCGCGCTTCTTCTGCCTCTCCGTGTACGTGACCATGTATCTCAACGACCACCAGCGCGCCGCCTTCTACCGCAACCTGGGGCTGGACGTGAAGCAGTTCGACCTGCACGTGATCAAGGAGACGAACCGCACGTCGGCGCGCATCTTCCCCGCCGTGCTCGACGTCGACAACCCCGAGTTCGAGCGCAAGCTGAACCACCTCGTGCGCCTCCACGAGAGCATTATTGCTGTCGACGCGAACGAGGCCGCGCCCGAGCTGCTGCGGCGCGTGCAGAAGCTGCCGCTGCAGGCGGCGTTTGTGGGCAAGCTGCTCGCCATGTACCTCATGCGCCCCGTCGACGCGGGCTCCGTCGAGTTCGATCAGGAGGAGACGCGCATCGTGTATTGAGAACCGCGAGAAGCTTACTTTCCGGTTCAGCTAGCCGCTGCCTCCTGTAAAATTATCCTTCTCTCCTAAATAGAGGTCTTTGTTTTTGTGACTAATACTAGAACACTTTGATCTATTCTTGCAAGTCGCTGTCACTTTAGGAAGATCATAGAGTGGTGGTAATGCAAACATTCATTGTGCCATGAGTTTTTCTTATCATGGCTCCTGGTTCCTTCCCATCCCAGGCTGAGGAGGAGGCATTGTAGGGGCAGAGGATACATTTTCCAGATGCTGAGAGACTATGGGTACCGATGAAGATGCAAGGTTATGACTGTTTGCATGCCCTTCTGTGTGGAGCAAGCAAGCATGGTACGGTAATCTGGATGGGAGTTGGATGTTCTACAGTACTTTGCGTTCATTCTACCGCATCTTACTGGCGGCTGGCATGAATTGGATCTGGAAGGCAGATTTATCGTAGGTATCCCATTCCCAACCAGGCCTCTGACGGAATCCCGCAGAACTGCTCGTTTGCATTCACATGTCAGAGGTCCACTGGTGATCCCCGATTGATCATAGGGAAGGGTTACAGGCTCGTTGTCCTGGGGGGTTATGGGCGCACTGACCCGCTACTTAACAAGCCATTTTATCCCAATGGTCTAGTGGTTGGGAATCTGACATGGTATCAGAGCGAAGGTCTCGGGTTCGAATCCCAGTGTGTGCACTTCGGGCATCCCAGTGCGGGGGGGTGTCAGAGGTCCACTGGTGATCCCCGATTGATCCTAGGGAAGGGTTACAGGCTCGTTGTCCTGGGGGGTTATGAGCGCCTTGACCCGCTACTTAACAAGCCATTTTATCCCAATGGTCTAGTGGTTGGGAATCTGACATCACATACCGTACCAGTTCCATGCTTGAGCTGGTGGTACATCGATCGAACTCCTTGTTGTAGTGGCAGTGCTTTTCCAGAGAAACCAGCTACCTACAATCTTGCTGGCTTTTCCTATAGAGGGTGGTGCAAGGAGAGAATAGAGGGGAGGAATGGGTAAAGAGTGTTGTTGTGTGGGTGAAGGGGGGAAGAGCAGCAGGGAGTGGGAAGGTGGAAAATGGGGGAAACAGGCAGGGAGGTGGGGAGAGGGAAGGGGGAATGCGGTGAGACAAGCAGGGATCTGGGGAGGGGGAAAAGGGGGAAATAACCTCTGACAGGGTCGGGGAGCGAGGAAGGGAGAGAAGTTCGGGAAGGCGGGAAAGAGAGGGGAGAAGCTGACAATATATTCGGGGAGGGAGGAAGGGGAAAAAGGGAGCAGGGAGGGAGTACAGAGGAGGGGAGATTGGGGTTGGACCAGATAGGGGGGTGGGGGGAGGGGAGGGGTGGGGTGGGTGAAGAGGAGGAAGCAAGCCGTGGAGCCAGGAAGTTAGAAAGGTGGAAAAGGGGGGCAGGAGCAAGACAGATAGGAGACGAGCTTGGATATTATGAGAGTATGATGCACTTGTCAGCGATGGGTTACAGGAGAAAGGGCAGAGTGACAGGAGGGGTGGGTGGTGAGGGGAGGAGACGAGTGGTTAGAGGTATGGGTATGGGAAAGCGGAGGGGTGGCTTGGATCGAGGGGAGTGGGGATTTGACATGGAAGGTACCGTACCAGGTTGAATGGAAGGCAAAGGATCAACTGAAGCTTAAGATGGGGAAAGCAAAGGGAAGGGAAGAACAAAAGAGAGTGGGGGCGAGGACAGGAGTGGAGGAAGGGCGGAGGCAGGAGAAAGCGAAGTCAAATGTGAAATGCATCAAGACCACGAGAGCAGCAGAGAGCAAAGATGAGAGCAGGGAAGCAAGCAAGGAAGCAGCAAAGCCATGGAGGCAGGCGGAATGCAAGCAAATGAGAAGAATTAATGGGATTGAGGGTGAAGGAATGCAGAAACAAAGAGAAACGGGTCAAGGAAGAGATGCAAGCAGCAAGCACGCACCACGTTGTGTCTTGCTATGTTTGACTCCACGTCCTCTCTCCTTGCCCCGTCCCCCCATGCAACCTAGCCCTGCTACCCTCTACAACTGCCCGCTTCACCTGCCCCACTCTGCCCAATGTGGAGAGCGCACACATCCAGTACCGTACCCCCCTTCAATCTGCGCAACCCACTCCCATGAAACTCATTCCACATGGGCAGTGTGCAACCCACACACTCCACATTTCAGTCTGCAAATTCACATCAGCTGCGGAGAACCACAACAGCAAGTGCAACCAGAGTAAAAACCCGCTGCCGCTGAACCAGCACAAAGACTCGATATCACAGTATAGATGTGGAGACGAAGAAAAGGGGCAAACCCATTTATTAATGAAGGGGAAATTTACATAAAATCAGGGCCAGCGGCTGGCTGTACCACAGAAGGAAAGGAAAAGATAAAAAGTCATTTTTTTAAGACGGCTCCTGCGCTCGTTAATACACGATGCGCGTCTCCTCCTGGTCGAACTCGACGGAGCCCGCGTCGACGGGGCGCATGAGGTACATGGCGAGCAGCTCGCCCACAAACGCCGCCTGCAGCGGCAGCTTCTGCACGCGCCGCAGCAGCTCGGGCGCGGCCTCGTTCGCGTCGACAGCAATAATGCTCTCGTGGAGGCGCACGAGGTGGTCCAGCTTGCGCTCGAACTCGGGGTTGTCGACGTCGAGCACGGCGGGGAAGATGCGCGCCGACGTGCGGTTCGTCTCCTTGATCACGTGCAGGTCGAACTGCTTCACTTCCAGCCCCAGGTTGCGGTAGAAGGCGGCGCGCTGGTGGTCGTTGAGATACATGGTCACGTACACGGAGAGGCAGAAGAAGCGCGCCCACAGCTTCGAGTCCCACGCCGTCAGGAACTTGGGGTAGCACTTGAGCATGGCCGTGATGAAGTCGCCGTGCCGGTTCTCGTCCTGGCACCAGTTCTCGAACTTGCCGAAGATCGGGTAGCACGAGAACTCGGGGTGCGCCGTGAGGTGGCGGCAGATGGTGATATAGCGCCAGTAGCCGATCTTCTCCGAGAGGAAGGTGGCGTAGAGGATGTACTGCGGCTTGAAGAAGGTGTACTTGCGCGCCTTGGTCAGGAACCCCAGGTCCAGCGACAGGTTGAAGTCCGACAGCGCCTTGTTCAGAAACCCCGCGTGCCGCGCCTCGTCGCGCGACATGAGCGTGAAGATCTCCGCAATGCACGGGTTGGTCTTCTTGAGGCGGCGGCCCAGCTCCTTGTAGAGCAGGAAGCCGGAGAACTCGGCGGTGCAGGAGCGCTCGAGGAACTCCACGAAGATCTCGCGCGCGCGGCCCTGGATCTTGTCGGCCGCCTCCTTGAAGTCGGGCGAGCGCACGAAGTGCGTCTGGTTGTAGTCCGCGCGGAACTCCTCCAGACACGCGTCGAACTCCGCCTGGTTCACGTACGGGTTGATCTCGCGGTTGAACAGCTGCACGGAGGGGGACCGCGGTGGATCGGGGGGCAGGGGTGGGGACAGGGGTGTGGGGAAGGAAAAAGAGAAACAAGAATGATGAGCTCTGGCATTCTGAAATGAGTATGGAGGATCCAGAAAGATAATGCAGATCGAATCGATCAAAGAGAAGGGGATCGGGAGACTATGAATGCAAAAGCGTGACGAAACGACGCGGCGGAGCAGAGGCGAGGGGGCGTACCGCTTCCATCTCGTCGAAGTCGGTGGTGTAGAAGCGCGGCGTGAGCAGCGTCTCCTGCGCGGGCTCCTTGGAGCCGTCCCTCGGCTTGTCCTTCCCGGCGGCGGCCGCGGCCATCACCACGCGGCTGCTCGGCGCGGAGCACCCGAAGCTGTGCTTCACGCTCGGCGCGAACGAGCTCGCGGCGCTCAGCTTGCTGCTGCTCGCCATCATGGCCGCGGACGGCATCGCCAAGCGAGAGGACACGGACAGGGACGAAGCGAGGGCCGCCATGGTTGCTGTTTACGAAACGGAAAGTAAACAACAGCTGAAGCTGAAGGCTTGATCAGCAAGCAGACGAATGTGCTTGCCTTGGTCAGCAACAGTCGCTCGTTCCTGCCTGTGTGACGGACGAGTAAATAAAAGCTGAAGATGTTGATGTGATCAAGCACAAATGACGGGGGTATTTCAAGCTTGAATTTTCCGTTCTGGGACCCGCTTAGGCAAGCTCAGTGCAGGGGAGTCCGAGGGCGAAAAGTGAGAGGTGTAAAATGTGACGTGGCGAGCCGCGGGATTCGAAACGCGCCCACAGGCAGAGCAGATATGACAACGCATGTCGGTTTCTTTTTTATGATTCGTCAAATTCTCGTGGGCAATCTACAATCCTAGGGGTTCTGTGCCAGCGAAGTTGACGACGAGCCCGTGGAAAGGGGAATTGAAATCCTGGAGCCGACAGCGCAGCACTCACGGACCACGTGTCCAAGTCCTGGCGTGTGTTCGGATTTCACTTCTTTTAGAGGGTCTCCATATGAATATTCATTACACCGCAAAACAATAAGTTCACCATATGAAGACTCCTACTTCTCAGCAAATGACAAAAGTGTGTATCGAACTTCTATACGGGCTGTACTAATGATTGACAATAGCAAATATATAACTACAAGATGGATCAATAAATCTCAGTTTCAAGTTTATATGCTACATTTAAAGGAGAAAAGAACATTCAATTCAATATCTTGATGTTCCTGGTTACCTGCAGGGACCAGCAGTGGCTGGCAGGACATGCCCGTCATTAGTTCTTGTTGGCGATTGGGCGCAATGGGTTTCTGCATCCACAAAAAAACAAGATAACAACGAATAAGCAAATACCGGTTAGCCCATCTGCTCATGGGTATCAACTACTCATATCCCTCAGAAGTGCTAGCAGTCTTTGGAAACAAGTCTGCGCTTACCTGGGAGTGGCAGGCTTCCTCCTTCCAAGCGACTTCCTCCCACACGTGTCCATCTCCCCTTCACTCTCACTCTCACTCCCAAGCAGTGCAGCCCGCCTGTTCTTCAACCGCCTCATGGCCGTCCCGCCTCCTTCAGCCACACCCCCTCCATCACTATCACTCCCATCACTGTCACTATCCAATACCGCTCTCCTCTGCGCCCTCCCCCTACTTTTCCTCTCGCCCACTGGCCTCAAGACAACGTTCTCTGTCCCGCCATTCCTCTCCTCACTGCCACCCTGCCTGCCAGGAAGCTTCCTCTCCCCAACAGGCCTCAGTTCAACCTGAAACGCCTGGGCCTTATCTGCCACAACGTCCCTGTCTCCATCGTCCTCGCTCCCTTCCCCCTCCTCATCCTCCTCATACCCCTCGGCCTCCTCCCCTTCCTCATCCTCATCCAGTCCCCCCTGCTCACCGACTTCCTCAACATCCATGTCATCTATCTCGTCCCCTTCATCTCCTCCCTCACTCCCCTCCTCACTCGCTTCAATTTCACTGCCCTCCTCCCCACTGCCACTTACTTCCTCAACACCCTCACTCTCCTCCTCTGCCTCTTCTGCCTCCTCTGCCTCCTCCCCTCCCTCTTCTTCCTCTGATTCCCCCCTTTCCTTAGACCCACTTGTCCTCCTCTGATTCCTTCCCTGCCCCCTGCGCCCTGCACTCCTCTGCACCACCACTTCCTCCACTTCCTCCTCACTCGCTTCTACACTCTCCTCCTCATCCTCCTCTCCACTCTCCTCCTCACTGCTACTCCATGCAACCAGCTTCCTCCTCCGCCCACCTCCTCCGCTGCCAGCATTCCCACCCTTCATGCTGCTCCTGCCTTTCCTCCCACTGCTGCGCCCACTCTCTCTCCTCTCCCCCTCCTCCCTTGCCCCACCCCGCGCCCTCCCTGCTCCCTTCAAAACCTCCCTGCTACTCACACTGCTCCTTCTACCACCACCACGGCTGCTCCTTCTCACACTCATCCCCCTCCCTTCGTCCTCTTCTCCCTCTGCCTCCTGAGTACCCATCGCCTCCTCCTCCCCAGCACTTTCCCCCTCCACCTCTTCATCCTTCTCACCCTCCTCCTCACTCTCCTCCACCCCACTATCACACTCCATAAACTCTCCTGCTTCCGCCTCTTCACCAGAACCATCACTCTCCGCATCTCCTGAACCATCACCACCAGCATTTCCAGAATCCCCAGCATCCCCAGCATTCTCAGCAGACTCCCTAGCAGCAGCTCTGGCAGCGGCTTTGGCAGCCGTTTTAGCAGCCTTGGCAGCGATGGCAGCAGCAGCGGCAGCAGACGCCTCCTCCTCCTCCCTCTTCTCCTCGTGCGTCCTCCCCATCAGCTCCTCAAACCTCTCCAACTCCTCCCTCAGCTCTGGCTTTGCTAACTTCTTTGCCTGGTGGGTGTGGAGGAATGGGGTGGTTGGGAAAGAGATTTTATGTGCAATGCATGTAACATGCACGTAAGCTCCTCAAACTTCTCCAACTCCTCCCTCAGCTCTGGCTTTGCAAACTTCTTCGCCTGGTGGGGGTGGAGGAATGGGGGGAGGGGATTGGGAAACAAGGGTTGCTTTTCTTCCCTATTTCAGAGCGTCCTTCATGTCCTTGCAATTGTCCATCAGCCGCCGTGCACCCCAAGAGTCCACTCACCTTGCCACTGGCGGTCCTGATACAACCCAGTCCCACACTCTCACAGCCCACGCACCTTACCAGTGGCCGTTCTTAGATACTCCAGCACGGCAGCGTCCCCCAGAGCGTCCTTCATGTCCGTTTAGTTGTCCATCAGCCTCCGCTACTCCACCACCACAACCCCCAGCCCAAGCGCGCTCACCTTGCCAGTGGTGCTGCCATTCGCCACCCCCAGTCATTCCACCATCACAACCCCCAGAGATCACGCACCTTGCCAGTGGCACTCCTCAGGTACTCCAGCACGGCAGCGTCCCCCAGGGCGTCCTTCAAGTCCTTGTAGTTGTCCATCAGCCTCCTCTAGTTCACCACCACTGCCCCAGTGCCCACTCACAAGATGGGAAAGCACAGACCCTACGCACCTTGCCAGTGGCAGTCTTAAGGTACTCCAGCACGGCAGCGTCCCCCAGCGCGTCCTTCACGTCCTTGTAGTTGTCCATCAGCCTCCGCGCCCCTCGTTCGGAGATGGGCAGCAGGGAGAGGCAGAACGCCACCATGCGCTGCTGCTGCACCCTCCCGTCCCTGCCGCCCCTGCTGCTGCTACCACTGGCACTGCTGGCGCTGCTGTTGCCGCTGGCGTTAGCGCTGGTGTGGGTGCTGATGCCTTCCCCAGAAGCAGCAGTAACAGAGGCTGCATTGTCAGCAGAGGCAGCGGTAGGAACAGCAGACGCAGAATCCCCAGCAGTGGCACTGGCGGCCGCGTCAGCAGGAACATCCGCCATAGCAGCTGAAGCAGCAGCAGCAGGGTCAGCAGCAGCAGCAGCAACAGCAGCAGGAGCACCAGCAGAGGAGGCGGAGGAGGAGGCGGGGTGGGCGTTGGTGAAGCGGTGGCAGAGCTTGTCGATGAGCCCCTCGCGCTGCTTGTCCTTGTCTATGAAGGCGATGAGGAAGCGCATGATGGCGTGCAGCGAGGGCTCTGAGAGGCGCGGGTTCACCGCCATGTGGCTCAGCATGTCCGGCAGCAGGTTGTAGACCAGAGAGGAGCCTGGTGGGAGGAAAGGAACAAATGGGGGGGGGAGTGCCAACGGAGGGGCGGGGAGGGGGCAGAGCACGAGGCGAGTGGGGAAGGGAGGGGGAAGTGGAGGAATAGAGTGAGGGCAGAGCTTGTGGATGAGCCCCTCGCGCTGCTTGTCCTTGTCCTTTAGAGGCGCCTCAAAAGGCGCTGCTTGTCCTTGTCTATGAAGGCGATGAGGAAGCGCAGGATGGCGTGCAGCGAGGGCTCTGAGAGGCGCGGATTCACCGCCATGTGGCTCAGCATGTCCGGGAGGAGGTTGTAGACGAGCGAGGAGCCTGCAGGTGGAGGGGTTGTGGGTTGACTTTTGAGTCGACTCAATAGTCAACTCGAGGAGCCTGCAGGTGGAGGGGTTGTGGGTTAATTTTTGAGTCGACTCAAAAGTCAACTCGAGGAGCCTGCAGGTGGAGGGGTTGTGGGTTGACTTTTGAGTCGACTCGAAAGTCAACTCGAGGAGCCTGCAGGTGGAGGGGTTGTGGGTTGACTTTTGAGTCGACTCAAAAGTCAACTCGAGGAGCCTGCAGGTGGAGGGGTTGTGGGTTGACTTTTGAGTCGACTCAAAAGTCAACTCGAGGAGCCTGCAGGTGGAGGGGTTGTGGGTTGACTTTTGAGTCGACTCAAAAGTCAACTCGAGGAGCCTGCAGGTGGAGGGGTTGTGGGTTGACTTTTGAGTCGACTCAAAAGTCAACTCGAGGAGCCTGCAGGTGGAGGGGTTGTGGGGAATGAAGACGTGCGAGAGGCCGTGACGGCAGGACGGGCGCGAACAGGTGACAGACGCTGATATGGCAGGGTAGGAGTGTATGGGCGAGGGCGACGGAAACGGCAGAGGGAATATGATGAAGGGGCAGCGATGGAGCAGGCAGTGCAACCAGGAGTGGAGAGCAGAGAGCACTTCTCACCCTTTTTGGAGAGCTCGTGGAAGAAGAGGCGGGCAAGGTCAGCGTTGCGCGGATCAGGGTCCTCCAGACACACGGCCAGGCTGCTGATGTGCCCTTTCACCTGGTACGGGGGGAGAAAGGGGACGGGCAAGGGAGAGAGAGGAAGGGCGGGTGTAAGAGCAGATACGGAACAGCAGCATGAAATGACGACGAGGGTGCTGACTGATAAGTTCTTTGAGAAGTCTCAAAACTACGAAACAGCGTCTTCAGCATGACATGATGCTGACGGTGCTGAGTGACACGGAGCAGAGTAGTGTATGCGTGGGGTGCACATGGCTGAGGACTTCAAGGTGACTTTTGAGTCGACTCAAAAGTGACACGGAGCAGAGTAGTGTATGCGTGGGGTGCCCAAGGCTGAGGGCTTCATGTGAAGCCATCTAACCAGACCCACCTTCATCATGTCGTTGAGAATGAGGTGAGAGAGCACCAAGAGCTCCTGTCTTCTCACGAACGCGTCCCCATCGCTGAGAGCGGTGTACGCGTGGGGCGTCCACGGCTGCAGCAGGTTGGGGCAGCGCAGAGCCAGGTCCCCTAGGGCCACCATGGCGTTGGCGCGCACAGAGGGGTGCGGATGGGTGCGGAGGAGTGTGAAGAGCAGCTGCAGGTGGGACTCGCTGTGGGTGGGGAAGGAGGGGGGAGAAGGGAGGAGAGGAGTTGAGTCAATGTGAGTCAGGGTGCGTCAGGGTGCGTCAGGGTGCGTCAGGGTGCGTCAGGGTGCGTCAAGGTGCATCGAGGGTCGTCAAGATAATTCAGAGTGAGAAAAGTTGATTCAAAGTGAGTGAGTCAAGCTGAGTCACGGCGAGGAAGGGAAGCTCACCAGAAGTGGCTGTCGATGGCCATGAGCTTGGACAATGAGAGCACAGCACACACATACACGCCCTGACTCGCTGCAAACGCCTGAGGTCGCCTGCACAGCGCCGAGACAAACCACGCCACCCGCCCCACCAGGTACTCCCTCCCCTCTCCCCTCGTCCTCTCCAGCCCCTTTTCCATGGCCACTATCTCCCCCTCCACCTGCTCCTGCAGCGCCTCTAGCTGTGCTTCCACTGTCACTGCCGTCCCCAACTCCTCCCCCATCTTATCCTCCCTTCCCCCGCCCTCCCCTCCATCACCCGAATGCCCCTCTTCCTCCTCTCTCACACCCACACTCTCTACGCCTGCCTCCTCCTCTTCACTCTCGTACTCATACGCTCCAGGGGTGGCAGCGACGCTTCTCCTCTTCCCTGCCCCAGAGACTGTACTCTTACGGCCTGTGCTCTTCCTGCTTGCCTTCGCTTTTTTCCCGGTCAGGCTGGCCTCCATGGCTTCTGCGGCCGCTTCAGCCTCGGCTTTTTCCTTCGCTGCCCGGGCTGCCCGGACGCGGCGCACAAGCCTCTCCACGTGGACCAGGTGCTCGAGGGCAGCCTGCCCGGTCACAAAAACGAAAGTTGAGAGCTTTGCAGCGTCGAATCTCCTAAGGGACATCTCAAAGCCTCTCTCACTCCCACCAGCAGCTGTAGCTGCAGCAGCGGCGGCAGCAGCAGTTGGAGCAGCAGCAGGGAGATCAGCACTGTCAGCACCACTTGCACCAGTGCCCGGAGCACCAGCGTCAGCATTAGCAGCAGAATCGGCATCTTTGCCACCCTCATTGCTGCTCGTCACGCCCTCATCCCCACTCGTTCCTCCTTCACCATCTTTGTCCTCGTTACCAGCCTCCTCACTACCGTCCACAACACCACTCACTCCACTACTCTCCCTCCCCTCACCCTCCCCTCCTCCACCACCACTCCCCCCTCCACTCCCCACAACAACACCTCGTCCAAACATCCCCTTTACAAGCTTCTTCAGCAGCACGCCACAGTACCTCTCCGGCGCAGGATGCAGCACATAAAGCGCCCTCACCGCCTGCTCTATCACCCCATACCTCGCCCTTTCGGGCAGATCCAGCGAGCTGCCCGAAATAACCCCCTCGAGCAGCGCAAATACCCGGTGCCCTGCCCCCATTTCCTCCCTAACTTCCTCAGAAACCCTTTGCAGGGCGATACAGGTGTAGAGAGCGAGGAGAGGGTCGCTCTGAGCCCGCCTGCCTAGCCCTATGGCTAGGAGCGCGCTCAGATGGTGGTTGAGGATTTCCGGGCGGGTTTTTGCGGCCATGCAGAGGAGAATCAGCGCGCCTGTGCTCTCTGCTGACGTGGCTCCGGGCAGGTTGAAAGTGAAGATGTCCCAAAGGATGGTTACCTGGTGGGGACGGGTGAAGGAGGAAGGAGGGGAGGGAGGAGAGACGGATCGAAGGGTTTGGAACGAGCCTCACGAGCCAATCTTCTCATCCCACCCTCTTCACCGGACACCATCTCATCCCACCCTCTTCACCGGACACCATCTCATCCCACCCTCTTCACCGGACACCATCTCATTCCACCGTCCTCCCTTCCATCTCACTATGGGCATGGCATGGCGACGTCCCCGTTGTGCAGAACGTGCGCGCCAACAAGCACTCCCAACGCCGCCGGAACAACAGCGGAGTCTCTTAGGCTCCTCATAAGAGCGCGGAACAGAACAGCTCTGAGAAATGCTCACAGGTCAGTCAGTCCATCTCTCACTCACCATCTGCATGGTGACGTCTCCGTTGTGCACGAACGTGCCCACCAGCACCTCCAGCGACGCCAGGTCGTCAGAGGAGTTTCTTGGCTGAAGAGCGTAAAGCACAAGGGAGGTGAAGAAACTCACAAGTGCATCGCCTCATGTCACTCACCATCTGCATGGTGACGTCCCCATTGTGCACGAACGTGCCCACCAGCACCTCCAGAGCCGCCCGGTCAACAAAGACATATCCACGCACTCACACATCATTCTGCTCATCTCACCATCTGCATGGTGACGTCCCCGTTGTGCACGAACGTGCCCACCAGCACTTCCAGCGCTGCCAGGTCGCCAGAGGAGGCGCCGTGCGTGAGAGCCACGAGGCTGCGCGCTGCCTGCTGGGATGAGCGCCCCTTCACGTGCAGCTCCAGCACTGCCGCCTCCACTGCTGCTCGCACTGCTGGGTCGTGAGAAAAGACCTGAAAGGGATGGGTAAAGGAGGGTGTTGAGGAAGCCAACAGGGTTAGGAAGGCCAGAGAGGGCAGAGATGGAGGGGGCCCAGAGCTGCCTGCTGCGCTGACCGCCCCGTCACGTGCAGCTCCAGCACTGCCGCCTCCACTGCTGCTCGCACTGCTGGGTCGTGCGAGAACACCTGAGGTGAATGGGAGGGAGAAGGAAAGGAGAGAGGGAGGTGAGAACCTTCAGGGTGGCTTGCCCTCGCCCCTTCACGTTCAGCTCCAGCACTGCCGCCTCCACTGCTGTACGGGCTGCTAGGTCATGCAAGAACACCTGAATGGAAAGAAATATTGGAGAAGAGAGGGGAGGGGCGAACCGACAGGGTTAGGAAGGCCAGAGAGGGCGGAGATGGAGGGGACCGTCAGCTGCCTTCCCCACCCACTTTATCTCGTCCTGAGTCGTTATACCCTTTCCACCCAACCCACCCTTTCCACCCACACTCCCCACCCCACCCCATGCACTCCCTTTCCCCCTAGCCCATATCTCACCAAGGGCAGGATCTTCCTGAGTCGCTCGCTCGCCCCGTCCACGCGGAAGTGCTGCAGCGCCGTGAGCAGCAGAATCGCGCCCTCCACGTCCGACACGGCGCTCGAGCCCAGCAGCGCCGCCAGCAACCCCCCACATACCATCCCCTCTTCCTCCTACCATCTCTCCCCACTCCTTTTCCCATCCAACCCAACCCCCATCCCATCCACCCCCCACCATTCGCAACAGTCATATCTCACCAGCGGCAGGATCTTCCTAAGCCTTTCACTCGCCCCATCCACGCGGAAGTGCTGCAGCGCCGTGAGCAGCAGAATGGCGCCCTCCACGTCCGACACGGCGCTCGAGCCCAGCAGCGCCGCCAGCGCGCCCGTGACGGCGGCCAGCAGGCGGCAGAACTGCAGCCCCGCGCTCAACGACGCCACCAGCGTGCGCGTCTGCTCCACCCCGAACGCCCGCCCCAGCACCGCCTTCCCCCCCGCACCTGCTGCCCCTGCTGCGCCTGCTGCCCCAGCAGCTCCGTTTGGAAGCCCCTCTGCAGCAGTACCACCAGCAGCGCCTCCTGCCTTGCCTCCCTCTCCCTGTCCCTCCCCGTCCCCCTGGGTCGCCTGGGAGTCCACCCAGCTATCATCACCCACCCCTACTTCAGATTCCCCCACTTCCACTGCTGCAGCCGCTGCTCCTGCCCCTTCATTTCCTGCACCCTCCATCCCTTCGCCCTCTCCCTCTCCATCACCGTCGGCCTCGCCTCCTTCCCTGGCCTCCTGCTGCTCGGCGCGCCGGCGGCTCTCCTCCATGGCTGCCAGCTCGGCACGAGCCTTCTCCAGGGTGACCTCGAAGGGGGCCACTCGCAAGCTCGGGCCGAACGGATTCTGGTGGAGCATCTCACCCAGGAGCTGTTAAGAGGGATCGGGAGTGGTGGAAAGTGGTGGAGAGGAGTGGTGGACCCGATTATCGTAGAGGTGTGAGTGCGCATACAGGTGTGGGGACATCTCTTTCCGTCAAACACACATATCCTCCCAACCTCATCAACCCATGACTCCACCACGGCCACATCCCAAATATCCACCATCACTTGCCAGAGCAGCAGCACGTCCTAGCGCAGGTAAGTGCATTCCAGTGCCCCAAGAACAGACAGTTCACCTCCCCGCCACTCCCTCAAAGTTCTAATCACCCCTTCCCCTCTCACCTGCAGCGCGTTCTTCCGCACAAGCGATGACTTGTCCTCCAACCGCCCCACCGCCAGCTCCGCCACGGCGTTCCAGTGCCCCAGCGGCACCGCCTTCTCCCCGCACAGCCACGCCCACGCCTGCATCACGCGACTGCGCACGTGCGCGGACTGGTCGCGCGCGCGCTCCATCAGCACCGCCAGCAGCCCCTGCTTGCTCCGCAGTCGCTGCAACCGCGCGCGCATCGCGCCCCTCGCCGCGGGGCCTTCCTCCTCCGCGGAATCCCTTCCGCCCTCCCCGTCCTCGTCCCCTTCCGCTCCTTCCCCCTCCACGCCCCCGTCTCCTGCCGCGGGCACCGCTCCGCCAGGCGCTCCACCAGCGTCGGCGGAGTAGAGGCGCGCGAGGAGGCGGCTGATGGCGGTGACGATGGCGCAGCGCAGCACGGCGGACTCCCCGTGCTCGAGGTGCGGGACGAGCAGCGGCAGGGAGGCGGCGAGCAGGCGAGGCTGCTTGTTGGAGAGGGCGATGAGGAACTCCGCCACCTGATGAACATGGAGACCGGGGACAGGAGAGATATGAGAAGTATGATGAGCATGAGAAAGGTAGTTAACGTGAGTGGCCGTTAGCAGATAGGGGAATGAGGCGGAGAGCAGGCTGCTTGTTGGAAGGGGCGACGAGGAATTTCAAGGGGCGCACACCTCATTCAACGAACCCGCGGACTCACCTCGTGCACGCCGCTGTTGGCGCGGCTATACTCCTTCAGCCCCGTCCTCCCCACGTCCTGCAGAACCGCCGCCGCCAGGCTCGCCTGCCCCAGCTGCTCATCCGCGTACACCACCACGTCCGTGACTAAATCGGGGGAGTGCTTCTGGTGGTGCAGCAGGTGCAGCAGGCCAGATACCACCTGCACCAGGTACCCCTGCTTCACGGCGCACTGCGCCACGATCTGCACGAGCGGCGCGCGCACATCCCCGTTTTTGAGCAATTCGGCATCTTCGAAGAGCGTGAACGCCAGACTGCAATAAGCTTCCATAAGGCTCTCTTCTGGCGCGGAGCCGTGGTAGAGAGAGCTGAGCTTAACGGATGTGGCTGTAGCGAGCGCCTTGAGCACCTTGGGCATTTGGCGCTGCCACTCCCACGAGTGCGACACCACCGCCTTCTTCCGCGATTGGCGACCCCCCTGAGGAGACAAATGAGGAAGGAGCGAGGAGGAACCGAGGAGGGAACAAGGAACGAGGACGAATAGATACAGACGAGATGAGGTTATTGTTGGTCTGGGATCACTTCGAGCCTCGCGGAAAACATTTCAAGTTCAGGATTTCACCAAATTAGTCCTGGATCCTAGGCTAACCCTGCCTTACCTTTTGAGAAGGACGGTCGGCATTTTCCGTCGCCTTGGCAAGAGCTGCGTGCTTGACGATACATGCGAGGAAGTAGCTGTAAATCTTGATGCAGTTCTTGTAGGATCTGATAGACGGCCCTGATGTGGACACGTCAGCGTCAGACGCTGACGTGGAGGAGCTGCCGGAAGACGACGCGAGGAATGCCGCGATGGATGGAACGAGGCAGCTGATATTCGTTGCCAAGGAGTCGATCAGAAGGTCCTTGGACGAGGCATCCAGCTGGTCAAAGCACCTGCAGAGAGTTTACGGTGGAGTGCGAAAGAGGAGATGTTCTGTGGATTCAATAGAAACGGGTTGGGAGTTGAAACCAAGCGAGTCAGAAAGAGAAGGTAAGAAACGGACGTGTGTGGCCTGTTTTGTCTACTCTGCCTAGGTGACGTACTTGACAGCCGAGTATAGTTTGTTGAATGTCTCTTGCTCCTGCACGCAAAAAATATCCTTCTCTCCGAGCTCACGCGAGATTTCTGCACGAAAAATACCGCAATACCGTCAGAATAACCATTCATAGCAATCTAGCACCTTTAAATAGTAGCTGGAAAGAAGTATTGAGTCTGTGAAGGTGGAAGATATATGCTGTCAGCTTATACCAGAAAGTTAGTACCTCTGACAAGGTTGGGCTCGATCGCCGCTTCTGATACATCCGTGGCATGGAGACACCCTGAGGACTCGTCGTCATTCTGCTCGAGGTCATCCAGATTTTTCGGAATCCTAAACTCCATACTCACGGTATTTTTCCAGCCACACGACTACGTGGTGTTCCTCTTTGACAAAGCAAGTCTGACTTCTAATCTCCTGCACGAGAGGTGCAACGCTATTGCCTTCTACGCATTACGCGGTAGTCCAGACCTTGCTAATTTGGCAGTCGAAACCTGATGAAAGGAAAGCACAGCCTGAGTGACAATGGTTGACTAGACTTGCTGTTTCCCAGAATGATCTTCTGAATGGCTGACCTGCTTGCAAGTTCGATCAGCCACAGAGAGAAGGGGAATGCCGCACTGAAACATCCTGAATCAGATTGAACTGTTTGGAACCGTGCCATCCCAGGAACCGAAAGACAGGCATCCAGCGAGTCGCAGTGAACTGGAAACCTTGGGATCCCCAGCGAACAGAATTGCCTCGTGCGGTTTGCTCTGATTGGTGGCAGGCAGACCCTAGGGAACTGCTTCAGGAATTTGGCGGGAATGTTTTCAAATTCGTCAGACCTTCTGACCCGTCTGAACTGAAACTGGCGCGAGTTCCGATGGTATGTGCTGCTCTTCTAGATAATGTCACGAACTCAACAACTTATACATTACCACTGGAATCATTTTCCCTGTACGAGATACGCAATAACGAGTCACAAAGGTTTCCCCACAACTGAGTTGAATGGCGTCAGCAAAAAGGTGGAGCAAAAGCAGAACCAGTGATTGTGACGCCGATTAGTACTTGGGCCGCTGGGGCGTTATCCTGCTCTGCACCTCGTATCGCGTCTGTATGCGCGCCTGCAGTTAAGAGCTTGACGGATCCGACTGTCGTCAGCCAAGGGCGGACTCGTTGGGAGCCAAACAATGGCTGGGAAACATGGTTATGCACGCACGAATGACGTTATGCGAGCTCTTAGACCCGTGCACTCTAGGCCTAAGCTGAAAACCTGGAGACCTGATACACAGCGGACGACCCAGACGTATCCACACTACTCGCGAATCGTGATTAATTCCCGAATGCTCGCGCATCCTTTTTGGTCTCATCCCAGCATTTTTTTCCGGAAAGATACTTCAGTCTCCCTTGGCGGTCTTGTTCCAGTATTGATCGCCTTCCCATTGTGGAACCCTAGTGATCTTGCTGGTGTGACCTAATTTCGTTGACATGGCCAGCCCAATACATGCTTCAGGGCCTGCGAGATCCCTCCCATTATCACTCAGAATATCACCACCTAACCCAAGACCAAACTCCGTCGCATCAGACGGGCGGATAGCATTCTCCTACGTGGCGACAACGCTACATAGGGCAGCACAGGGAGTCATACGAGTGGTCGTAGCTGCACTGCAGGCGTTGAACGCGAGGTTCCGGGGAGTACCCATTTGGATTCGCGAGCCCATACTGCTGTGTGTTGTTGTGCTGCTACTGTCTGTCTCTTTGGTCGCGGCCTTTGTCTCTGGCATGGGGATGCCTGGGTAAGATTATGTCTATTGAGGACACTCAGCCACAAGTCTGCGTTTCATTCTTCTTTTCTCCAATCCTTCCGCTCACTTGTTTTTTTTCCTCTCTATTTTCAGGGACTATTCGCAAGTTTCTATTGCTATTATGAGGAAGGCTGTGCATCATCATTCGCCAGCAGCTGCTTCCTATGCTGCATCGTTATCTGAAGCTGTATGCGGGGGCTCTCGTGTTTGTGCAGCTAGATTCTCAGTTCAGGCATGGCTGCAAGCATCAGCAAGTGAATGTGGTGATGATTGTGTTGTGATAAGAATGGAACCTCCTGGAAACTCTCTGAATCTGTGGGTTCATTTCAGGACAGGCACTAGGGGAATTGAACCAGGGCCCAAATTTCAAGGGTAAAATACCCTTTTTGCCCTGATGGTAGGCCGCTTTTTCCCAGTTACCCTTGCCAAAACAGGGTATCAATTTTTTTACCCTAGAGCAAACAGGCTAAGTTTTGATTTACACTGATAACGATTTCTGTTACCCTGCCGATATCAGGGTGCACTGTATACTTCACTGATACCGAATCCTCTGTAGCGAGGGTTTTCCTTGCGAAGCCGCAAAAGAATTTGTGCACCAGCCAGATTTGAACTAACGACCTTCCTTAACCTTGCCTAACTTCTGACTGGCTGGGACATATCCTGTTGAGTTTTAACACTAAGGAGATTTATTGTCGACGGAAAACATTTCACCCTTTTAAAATCAGTGTACTGGTTTTTTTAGGCTGTTTTTGGCAGGGTACGAAATATGTTACCCTAACAGTCAGGGTACTGGGGGCCTGGAACCCTGATTTGAAAGAGTGGACCTAAACCTATTTTGGGCCCTGAATTGAACTTGGGGTATCCTACATTGTAGCTCTGATGGTTGTAGCCTTTGGTGCCTTCCTGGTCCACTTCATGTCGGTTGGTTTATCATAAAAAAAATATGCGGTAATCCTTGTATTTCTGCGGAATTATAACGAAGTTGCATGTATGGTGTTGTTTTTTGTTGCCTTGTTTTCCCAATCTCCAGTTCAGTTCTTGTGTATACAGTTCACTTTGTATTTCTCTGTACCAGCTTCAAGTGCAACGTGTACCCGCGAACATGCATACATTTGGAATCGGAACTAGGGTTCCTGTGATCCTTCTTCGTTCGTTACCCGCGAACCGTGTCGCTTACCATTCTGCCCACTAATCTCCCCTTCGCTCAATGGTTACCGTTCACTTAGTTAGCGGCTGAAGTAATCAGCCACGGATCGTAGCAGCGGCGACAACTCCTGGGCATGTCGTGGGCTGGGTTGCCATTTCTGCCTGGGACATCGAGCCTTGTTGAGGAGCTAGACAGTAAGCACCTCGCCTTGGCCGATAATTCTAACTTACGGGAGTCCTTAATTGACGATTTCTGACGTTTGTGTCGGCAGAGAAACTACTCGTTGTTCTTAGAGATGGACGTAAAATAATCGGTATCCTGCGCTCTTTCGACCAATTCGGTACGTGGCACTCAGGTCATTCCTAAGCTTACGTTCTCGTATGCAGTTCCACCGAACTTATCGATGTTGCTGGGTTATGTGCACAGCTAATCTTGTCCTGGAGCGTACGACTGAGCGGATTGTTGTCGGCGAGCAATACTGCGACCTGCCTCTGGGACTGTACATTATCCGAGGAGAGAACGTCGTTCTCATAGGCACACTTGTAAGTTGGTCTGATTCACGAGGCTCTTGTTCTTCGTTCTTGGTTGAAGTTATTTCGCTGATTGTGATTTACGGTATGCCTTTTCAGGACGAGCACATGCCAGAAATGCCTCCTAATATGGTCTCCGTTTCGTTACAACAGATTCGACAGGTATGTGAAGCCCTCATAATCTGCTTGCCACGTTAAGCTTTAGTGTATTGTTTGCATGACACGAAGTCTCCTTTCCTGCTGTTTGTAGGCCCAGAAAGAGGAAAAAGAGGCATTCGAGCTCAAAGGAATGTTGCGGAAGCAGATGGATTTTCTTGACATTGAGTAGCGAGTCTTCCAGATGAATGTCGTCCAATGCTTGTATTCCATTGGCCATGCTAACCTGCAAGTCTATGAGCAGGTTGGCCCGCACCTTTTATCGCGGATGGCCTTACCCATTGCAAAATGGAGAAGTATGCTCCAGTCATGGCCTGTGTCTGTAGTGGTCCCTGTTGTGTCCTGTGCATTCAATCCATATTGATCAAGCAGGGAGCAAGCCAGAATGCTGGATGGACTATGACATTCAGTCAGCATGTCAAGATCCAGGACCAGGACACTGGAAGCAAAATAAATTAGCTTGTTTATGCTGTGGATGTGGATAATTAATAATTACCGTAGGTGGAGGCATTGTCTTCAAGAAAAAAATATTTATGGTGGGTGTCTTATATGGTACAGTGTTTGCCTTGCTTTTTGCTATGTGGTGCAATAATGGTGGACGAGTTGTAACGTCTGTGACATGTTCAAGAGCGCTTGTATCGAACCGTATGTGCTGGCATAGCGGTTCGCAGGACAAACCACAGGCTTCACCATGCGCCTACCTCGTGACGCCATGGGGCAGC